GTGACTGCACCAGCTGTGAGAATAGGAGGCCTAGAGGACAAGGCTGAAGGAAAGTCACTGCACCAGCTGTAACGACCAGGTAATCAAGGAAAAGAGAATATCTACCAGCTGTGAGAGCCAGACAGTTGAAACGAAAAGACTCTACCAGCTGTGAGAACCAGACGGTCGGAGAGAAGAAAATCTCCACCAACTTTGAGAGCCAGATGGTTGATGGAATAATATTCTTCACCAGCTGTGAGAGCCAGACAAGTAGAGAGAGAATAATCTTCGTTTCCTCATTATCATTGCCAACACTACGGCTATTATTAGTGCTATTATCATCGTTATTGTTATTAATTAGCTGCCGCCATTGATATGAATCTTACATGTCTTAATGATAACGGTTCCTTTTATGTTATTATCAAGTTATATGGATCATTTTATAATGATGATGATTTCATATTTCTTAAAAAAAAGTAATGACTAACTGTAAAAAATCATGAGAATTATGATATCAATGATAGATATGGCATGTAAGATTTTCAAAGATTTTTCCGTTTGTATGTTTAGGTAATAATCTGCATTAATAATTCCCGGTATTATAATAATCATAACAACAATAACTGCAACAAAACATCAATATTAATATTAATACCATAACAATAATGCTCATAATAATCATCACTGTCATCGCAATTACCAATGACATAACCTGAAAAATCATCAAAATTCTTTACCTCATAAATATGATTTTTATTTATAATTTTCTTTTCTCCTTTTCGGCGTAACAGTTCAGCTCTTGTTAACCTGAAAATGGCGTCGGATTTTTAATTTACTATTTGCTATTCAAATTTAATCTAATTTCCTACTGATTTTGGCTTAGGAGAAGGACATTGCCGGTTTTGGATTTTTTTTTATAAGATTTGTTTTAAAGAATGTCGCTCCGGTTTGTGTGTGTGTGTGTGTGAGAGTGTTTGTCGGAACACCTTTTCGCCATCAGTTAACTGAAGATAACAATAGCAATAACAATAACAACAGAAGCAATAATCATGATAATGATAAAAATGATAACAACAATATTGGTAATAATGATACTAATTATAATGAAATGTAAAAATCTTACAATGATAATGATGATATTGATAGAAACATAATGATAAAGATTTTTAAAAATAAATAAACAAGTGGAAACGATAAAAATACAAGTAAAACGATAAAGTATGAAAAAGACACAGCAACAAAAGAAACAAATAGACAAAGGAAGGCAACATCAAAGAATCAAAGCCAAAAGCAACAACAAAATATCATGATCCAAAAATAACCAATAATCAAGCTCATTAGTTTCGCCGAAGAAGGCAAATGCGCCGATGTGTAACCCTGATCTAGACGCGATCAAGTCCCACTACATCAGGGTCGCTGTCGGGCGCCATTATGATAGCTTCTTTTGTCTCTCATGGAAAGCCACTCATCTTCCGTCTCCTTAATAAGTTATCATCATTGTTATCATTATCATCGCTATTATCATTATTAGTATCTGTTATTATGAATACCATTAACATTATCTATCCTTATTATCATTATCTTCAGGGTCCCTTTTGGTCGGCATTATGATAGCTTCTTTTGTCTCTCATGGACAGCATTTCATCTGTCTCTTTATCAAGTTATTATCTCTATCTTTATCATATAATTATTATTATTATCTATTACTCCTACCATCTATC